CCCGGACAAAAAAGTACCCAGGAAGAAGAAGAAGAAGAAAAATAATAATAATAAGAAACAGAGTAAAAACAATATGTTCCCCAACTTCGTTTGGGGAACATAATACCTCAAAAGCTGCTCAAGGAACTCTTTAGTGTATTAGTAAAAAGAATTTGGTACATTCGGCAAAAGTTTAATTCATTCAATGCTATAATATCTCCAAAATGTAGATGTAAATAACGTTATCTTTGTAATGCCGGATGTTTTCTATACATCCCGGTGAGGGCGCTACAATCGGAGGGAGATCGTATAGTGATATCTATTGTGACGTCATAGGAGTCGGTGGTCCCTTCGTTTTAGGTCTATGTTAAAAGACACGATTTTATTTCAAAGGCTGCACAATTTAAAACCACCTTCCCGATAAGGAAGTATTTTAAAATAAAAAAAATGTTAATCTGGCCCCAGACAACATTTTAAAATTAAATATACGTGAGTATCAGCGGAGCTCCTCCACTGACTTTTTGAAAGTTTAATTCAACATTCACAGCTTTTAATGATCTCGACATTTTAACTGTTTATTAAGAACACTAGCTTCTTAAAATTCAGTCTTGGTTTTTATTTCAGTAAATTTACTTTAAAAAATCTTAAATAAATGTAGTTGTACGTGTTACTATAATTCGTTATGACCTATATAAGTTGAAAAAAAAACAACCGTTTAGCTTAGATAATTCATGGATTAACCTAATTTGTATCTTTCACGGGCTTGCATATTTAAGTAATTTTGAATCAGGCACGTTGAATCATGTTAGATGGCCTTCCTCCTGACCTTAAGCCCGTAGGTTTCTCTTGTCTGCTGCTCCCTGGAAAATGATTTTATTTAATTGTCCATCTGTCGTGAGCACTATGTATTGCTCCAATAGAGGACTTTTACGAGAAGCACCGACTTCTACAGTTGACGGTTTACTTGTATCATGTACATTGTACGGAGGTACAGAATTGATAACAGATAAGAAAACCTTTTTAGTGGTAATAGTAATGGTGTTAGGGGCGATTGCATGTGAAAGCCGGGGGTTGAGGGCAGGGTGGTTGTCGTTTTCGTCAAGGACAACTTATATGTGCATTAAAAAAATAACCCGTTATTTTCCTTTAATTAAATGTTGAGCTAAATATTTATATCGTAAAAAAGCCTCCGTACATTTTGCTAGTGTAAAAGGAAACCGCCAACTGTAATAGTCAGCGCTCTTCGTAAAAGTCCACTAGGAACATTCCATAGTCAAATTTAGCACAACAACTAATGCTTAACAATCAATATAAACACATCAGCCAAACTACGACCCATCGATTGGTTGTATACAAAGGGTCATTTTAATTTTTGGAATTTATGGAATGCTGACTTTCAACAAGGTTGTTGAAATCCCTGCAACACCAACATGTATGCGAGTAACTTTTTTGGTTTAGAAACTGGTCGTTGTCAGCCTGAGGGCATCCTCTTGAGAAACGAATAAGTTGGAAACCTAAGCAGGTGAAATCGGATTATTCATGCTGAGTATTGTTTAGCAATACATGTCCTCTACTGGGATACCATTTTCTCTTTAGAATATAAGCTCGTTTGGAACATTCATTTAGTGCATCACAAACCCGATCGCAATCCCAATTATAAACCAGAAGTCTCTATCGAGACTGTAGCTCTACTGGTTTGTACTTGTAACAAAGGTAGAGATAAGTAGCAGTTGGACTTAAAACTTTACAACATCAATAAATAGAATAATGATCCTTGATTTAGTCTCTATTTGATGCAAGATTGCAATAAGACAACAACTATAGGAATATTCTTTTAACAGAATGGAACAAAAATATTAATATCAGTTACCATGGTAACAGCATTCTAAAAAATAAAAAAAAAACAAGAAAGATATTTAATCTCAGTGTTGTTTACTTGCATCCCGCAATATATTAAAATCAGACCAAAACTGTAGGAGGAGTAGCGTTTTACAGGAATTTCTATGTTTAGAAACCACAGCAACGCCGTTGATCGAAATCATAACCAATAAAAAGAACCGTATGTATCTTAGTGTGGTCTACATGTGTGCCATGAGGAGTAGAGACAGAGAGTCGGACGGACACCTAACTATCGCATAAGCTGACCAGTAGAGTTTAAAATGCGTTAATTCAGTAGCCAGTAAAACATCCCGAGATTTTGAATTCCTTTGAATATTAAAATAGGTATATAAAGGGGCTCAATAAGTCAGTTGAAATGAACATTTTTAGCTCTACTGGTTAGAGACCAGAAGAGCTTATGCGATAGTAATGCGTCCGGCGTCCGTCCGTCTGTCTGTCCGTAAACAATTTTTCAAAATGCTACGCCTCCTACAGTTTTGGTCTGATTTCAATATAAAATGGCACACAAGAAGACTACACTAAGATACATAATTCTGTATGTCGGTTTTGTGATTTCGATGAACGGTGATGCCATGGTTACTAAAAATAGAAATTTGTTTGAAAACTTTCAAAATGCAACTCCTCATACCGTTTTGGTCTGATTTCAATATAATTTTGCACACAGGTAGACTACACTAAGATATATATTTCTGTTTATCGATTATTGATTTCCATGAACGGTGTTGCCGTGGTTACTAAAAATAGAAATTTCTTTGAAAACTTTCAAAATGCTACTCCTCCTACAGTTTTGGTCTGATTTTAATATAACTTGGCACACAGGTAGACTACACTAAGATACATAATTATATTTATCGGTTTTTGATTTCAATAATACCGTGGTTACTAAAAATAGAAATTTGTGTGAAATCATATCAAAATGCAACTCCTCCTACAGTTTTGGTCTGATGTCAATATAACTTAGCACACAAGTAGACTACACTAAGGTTCATAATTCTGTGTATCGGTTTTTGATTTCGATGAATGGTGTTGCCGTGGCTACTAAAAATTGAAATTTCTATGAAATTCTCTTAAAATGCTACTCTTCCTACAGTTTAAGTCTGATTTTAATATAACTTAGAATACGTCCCATATACTTGCAATGAAGCAAATCGGAACGGTTCCGCTCCGAAATGATTTTGAGAATATGAAAGGATTTGCACTGGAAATAACAACCAAATTAATCAAATCAAACCTTTTTGAAATTGCAAATGGCTTATATCCCCAAAAATAATTCATATAAAGACGAAAATCCAATTAATTTTATCAACGTTTTTCTTTCGCTTCAAATTTACTTGCCATGTTTACATTCGGAACTCTAGATTGTTCCTAGTAAAAGCACTGAGTACGAGTTATCGCCCGTGTTTCTTTTGCGACATTACGAATACACGGAACGAATTCTATCGTTAACCCGGGTCCGTAGGACAATATCATTTTAACGATAGAACGTACGTTCTATCTATTGACACACTAGTAAACTACACTGAGGTACATAATTCTGTGTATCGGTTTTTGATTTCGATGAACGGTGTTGCCATGGTTACTAAAAATTTGAATTTCTGTTAAATTCTTTCAAAATGCTACTCCTCCTACAGTTTTGGTCTGATTTCAATATCACTTGGCACACAAGTAGACTACACTAAGGTACATAATACTATATATCGGTTTTTGATTTCGATGAATGGTGTTGCCTGGCTTTTAAAAGTAGAAATTTCTGTGAAGTTCTTTCAAAATTCTACGTCCCCTGTAGTTTTGGTCTGATTTCAATATAACTTGACACACAAATAAACTACACTAAGGTACATAATTCTGTGTATCGGTGTTGCCGTGGTTACTAAAAATAGAAATTTCTGTAAAATTCTTTTAAAATGCTACTCCTCCTACAGTTTTGGTCTGATTTCAGTATCACTTGGCACACAAGTAGACTACACTAAGACACATAATTCTGTTTATGGGTTTTTGACTTCGATGAATATTATTGCCTTGGTTACTAAAAATAGAAATTTGTTAAATATTCTCAAAATGCTACTCCAAATACCGTTTTAGTTTGATTATAATATAATGTTGGCATGCAAATAGACTTTACTAAGAACATTATTAAGAGACTTAATCAAGGATCATTATTCTATTTATTGCTGTTGTAAAGTTTCAATTCCCAACTTTTCTCTTCCTTTGTTATAAATACAAACCAGTACAGCTTCAGTCTCGACAGAGACTTCTGGTTTTTAGCTCTACTGGTCAGAGACCAGAAGAGCTTATGCAATAGTAATGCGTCCGGCGTCCGTCCGTCTGTCTGTCTGTCTGTCCGTCTGTCTGTAAACAATTTTTCAAAACGCTACTCCTCCTACAATTTTAGTCTGATTTCAATACTATTTGGCACACAAGTAGACTACACTAAGATACATAGAATAGTGCATCGGTTTTTGATTTCGATGATCGGTGTTGCCACGGTTACTAAAAATAGAATTTTCTGTGAAATATCTTAAAAACGCTACTCCTTCTACAGTTTTGGTCTGATTTCAATATAACTTGGCACACAAGTAGACTACACTAAAATACATAGAATAGTGCATCAGTTTTTGATTTCAATGAACGATGTTGCCATGGTTACTAAAAATAGAATTTTCTGTAAAATTCCTTTAAAACGCTACTCCTTCTACAGTTTTGGTCTGATTTCAATATTACTTGGCACTCAAGTAGACTACACTAAGATACATAGAGTAGTGCATCGGTTTTTGATTTCGGTGAACGGTGTTGCCATGGTTACTAAAAATAGAATTCTCTATGAAATTCCTTTAAAACACTACTCCTTCTACAGTTTTGGTTTGATTTCAATATAACACTGCACACAAGTAGACTACACTAAGATACATAGAATAGTGCATCGGTTTTTCATTTCGATGAACTGTGTTACATGTAACATGGTTACTAAAAATAGCATTTTCTGTAAAATCCCTTTAAAACGCTACTCCTTCTACAGTTTTGGTCTGATTTCAATATAACTTGGCACACAAGTAGATTACACTAAGATACATAGAATAGTGCATCGGTTTTTGATTTGGATGAATGGTGTTGCCATGGTTACTGTAGTGTCCGGAAATATCCGTTCCCGCCGTCCCGGGTTTAGATTTTAGTATATTTTGTTTGTTTCCGCCCAAGTCAAAAACACAACGTGTTTACAGCAATCTTGTTTGTCTTGTCCTCTCATGGAGTAAGTTTCATTGCTATTTTTTGTTTATTACCATAAATTGATTGATAAATGTTTGATTATCATGTATGCTAAATGTCATTGGTAAGCATTTTGTTTATTTTGCATAATTCTGCATCGTTATGTGTTATTTTTGTAACCGGTGCATTTAAATATGGCGGATAGTTTAGGTCATTTTTATATACTTAGGTAACATATCGATATACTGTTATTTTGTCATTTTCTGTTCATCAAATCTGTCAATGATTAATAATCACAGTTAATAAGAAGTTGATGTGTCAGTATAATATTTTATTGTGAAATTTGTAATTTGATTGTGGCTAAATGTGTGTCATTTTTTTTGTAGTTTTTTACCCTCTTCCGAGAGGTCTGTGAGAATGAATAAAGTTTAACAGCACAGTAAAAAATCCACTTCTTGGACACAGACTCATCATGGTAGATGCTCCGGCATTAAGGCAATCCCGCAACATTACATCACCCGCCATGGAACAGTTTGAGGAAAGAGTCAACCGATATGTCTTCAAATTGGGTAACATTAAAAGGGACATTGACTCCATTGTAACAGACATGGAGGAAAATCCAGTTATGAACTTAGATCGTGCAAAGACTTATAAAGTTTCCCTAAACAAATACATGTTGCAATATGAAAAGGCCTCCGCGGAATATGCAACATTTCTACAAAGTCAGCGCCACGATGCCAGTAGGAGAGAGGAAGCATCCAGGTCCATCATTGCTACTTCACTTCACGAAAAGGTGACAGCAGTGTTAAAACAATTGAACTCTATATTACCTGATACAAGATCCCATAAGTCTCACTCTGTATACAGTCACGGATCCTCATCCTCACGTCTCACATCAGTAGTGTTGGAACACACCGCAAAGGTTGAAGAAGCACGTATGAAATTAAAGTATGCCGAAGAGGAAGCGGAGTTGTTGAGGAAAGAAGCAGAGATCAAGGCAGCCCAGCGTCTCCTTTCAGTCAAGAAAGAGTTTGAAGCAGCGCAATCAAGTCTAACAGCAATTAAGAAATGTCTTCAATATGACTCTCTTGGAGATAGCTACATACCACCCTGTGAAAATGACATAGGTGAAGATGATCAGCACGAAACAGACAATTCTCACACAGCTGAGCAATCAAAATATCAAAATCAATGTGACTATACAGAGAAGCCAAGAGAATTTATGAACACTTCCACGCCAAGTGAACACACCAAACGTTGTGAATCTTCAGAAAGACCAAGAGAACCTGTGAACAGCTATATCAGTGAACGCTCAGGTCAAATTGAATGTATTTCCCAGACGCCAGAAGGAAAAACACAGAAACCTCTGAACCCAACAGCTCCAGAGTTTGTTGCCGTTCAACATGAGAAAGGTGTTATGAGTGAAACAAATGAACTTGCTAAGTTGTTAGCCAAGAAGCAACTTATACCAACTAGACTAACTCCATTTGATGATGTCCCAGGACATTACTTCGTCTGGAAATCAACATTTGAAAATGTGACAAATGAACTTGGTGCTTCCATTATGGAAAAACTTGACCTCTTGATCCAGAACCTTGGAATGAAGTCTAAGCAGCAGGCTCTCAACATTCGTTCAGCAAACCCTCATGACCCTCCTAGAGCATTGCGTCTGATATGGGAAAGATTGGATTCAAGATTTGGAAGCCCAGAAAGCATTGAATCATCACTGAAGAAAAGAGTCGCAGCTTTCCCTACCTTAAAGAACTCAAACAGAAGTGAACTTTTTGAACTTGCAGACATTCTCATGGAAATTGAGTCAATTATGCGAGATGAAAAGTACGCAAAACTATTCTCATATTACGACTCGTCAGGTGGCATAAACCCGATTGTCCGAAAGTTACCTTCAAGCATTCAGGAGAAGTGGACAAATGAAGCTAACAAGTATAAACAGAAAAATGGTGTCATCTATCCGCCATTTTCGGTCTTCTCCGCATTTGTGAATAACATCGCAAAGATACGCAATGACCCTAGTTTCATATATGAGACTACTGAGAGTACGCAGCAGAGTACTATTGATGGAGGTAAACCTATCAAGAGAGCAAGTTATATCAAGACGCAAGTGTCCTCAAGGAAAACAGATGTGACCACAGAATGCTGTCCAGTACATGGCACAAACCATACACTCAATGCTTGTAGGCAATTTCGCACAAGGCCACTACAAGAAAGGAAAGACTTTCTCAGAGAAAATGGCCTCTGTTTCAAGTGTTGTGGAACAAAACGTCATTTCCAATCAAACTGTAAAATGACTGTGAAGTGTGATGTTTGTAACTCTTCGAAACACCCTTCCGCACTTCATCCAGACATTCCAAAATCCGTCGTGAAAGCTCACGAGGGGGAGAAATCTATTCAAGAAGTGAATGTAACAAACAAGTGTACAAAAATATGTAACACTCAAGGAAACACATCGAAATCGTGTGCCAAGATAATGTTAGTGAAAGTGTACCCCAAAGGAAGAAAGAACTTGTCAAGAGAACTCTATTGCATGATAGACGAACAAAGTAATCGATCTCTTGCAGTCTCACAGTTTTTCAACGCTTTCGGGGAAAGTGGAAGTGAAATGGAATACGTCCTATCCTCTTGTGCAGGTAAATTCCACACTGCAGGACGCAGAGCCTCAGGATACATGGTGGAATCTATTGATGGTACCTGTACTTTGCAGCTGCCTGATTTGATAGAGTGCAACGATATTCCTAACAACAGAGAGGAAATACCGTCACCTGAAGTGGCACAGGGGTTTCCTCACCTGAAGGACATTGCCCATTTTATACCCCCTGTGGAGGAAAGTATCGACATCGAGTTATTGATCGGTCGTGACCTCATTATGGCTCACCATGTGTTAGACCACAGAATTGGGAAGGATAACTTACCTTATGGACAACAACTGCCTCTTGGATGGGTTATCATTGGAAATGTCTGCCTTGGCATGATGCATAGCCCAGATGTCGTCAATGTCAACAAAACCACTATTCTTAGTAATGGACGTCCCACTACGATGATTCCTTGTGATAGCGAGATTAAGATCGACTTTGACTCAATTTTTAGGAGAACTGATCAGGATGAGAAGCCAGGATTATCAGTTGAGGATAAAGACTTTCTCAATATTATAGGCTCTGGAATACAGAAGACAGAACAAGGACAGTGGATGGCCCCACTCCCTTTTCGATCTACCCGGGAAAAGTTGCCGAACAACAAGGAAGCAGCTGAACGGCGTGCAAGATCCTTTGATGCAAGTTTGAAGCACAACGAACAGAAACGCAAGCACGTGATTGACTTTATGCAGAAGTTATTTGATAATGATCATGCAGAAAAGGCCCCAGTTTCAGATGAAGGAAACGAATGCTGGTACAGTACAGGCCACGAGTTTTCCGCAAAAAACACGGGGCCCCGTGGACCGCAAGTCCACGCTTTAGCGTGGAGCTCGAACCTTGTCGGCGTCTTTGAAGTCAGCGTTTCTGTGCACCGTGTAACACGGTGTGTCACAGTTCTGATGATAAATATTTTAAACATTTTCATTGCCCTTATTTAATAGAATTATATCAACTTTCGTTTGAAATATTTATTGTACTTTTCAATAAATTATCGCATGTATACAGATGTTTAAACTGATAAGATGCCTTAAAATTTAAAAACAACGTACTCGTGTCCAGCTAAAAAAAAAGTACAATGATTATCACGTTTCAAGTTAAATCCTAATTATATTAGTCATAAAAAGTTCAATAGACTATTATTATATTACACTAAGAGGAAACACACTTTCATAAATGAATTATCTACTTTCGATTTTGATTTTAACCGTGTTCATTTATATTGTTGATACAAGATCGTTTTCCCTACATATGCATTCATAAATAGTACATATCAGATGCGTGATTATACTAAGTGAATTAATTATTTTGTTAGAATTTAAAAATATATAATTATATGTACTGTGTCTAGAATAATTTTTATTTAAAAAAAATACGTGTCAGAGTCACACATTAATTCTGCTCTTTGATACCGGTACCGATACTCGGCGAATCATTGGACAGGTTCAGATAAGGATTATTGCAGTAAGACTAACACTGAAAATCTGATATTATGTAAAATATGGAGATAAATATTAAATGCGGTACCGTAAACTCGAAAATCTACTGAACAGGCAGAGATGATAATCTGATAATTTTCATTAATTAAAATAGTGATCAACTCACACGCTGAATACAAAAATCACCAGCCAAATTTTTGGCAAATGAAATGTAATAACTTCAGTACGAATTACTTCATTCTGAAATATATCGTGTGAATAATGAAAAAAAAAAACATTTTGAGAAAACATACAGATATTTAGCGATTTTTAAAAATGCCCCCCCCCCCCCCCTTCTAGAAAGCGATACGAATCAGCTGGTTAAAACTTTATAAGAAGTCTGCAAATTTATGTTATGTTTTTTAAAATCTCAATCTACGGGATACATGCTTATTTGTGTCTTAAAAAGTATAAATTAACAAAGTACATGCAAGTTTATAATCGTTGTTGTAGTGAAACCTGGAAGATTTCGCATGATATCAGTTGAATGAGTTATACACGCTGTGGTCAGAGCTGAAGAATTTGAAAGGTGTGATAAACATACGGCGCCTCTGGCCCACCGGCAGAGACCCAATATATTTTTTAAATAGGTGTGAACTCGGAACTGACCATAAGATTGTTTCAATCACAAGAGAAATTCTTTCCGCGTAAACAGACTTTCAAGGTCACCTAGCGTCATAGGGTTTTGAGTGACAGGTGATGCGTACACCATATGCAGAGAATAAATTGATTGCATTTAATGGGTTGAATATGAACAAATGTTGTGACAATTAAATAGAATTGTAGAATGATTAGTTGTGACCTCCGTAACTTAAATAAAACGAAAAATCAAAAAAAAAATCATAAAGACTATGGTAGAAGGGGGTTGTATGAGTCTCTCTCTCTCTCTCTCTAGTATTTCTTTTTCTACACATTACAAGAACAGAGAAACTTATTAGAAGAAAGAATTTTTTTTATTTTTTAGAAATAATTACTTACACTGACAGGATTTTAAAAACATAACGTAGTGAACACTGCTCTATGAAAATGATGTTTGCTATTACGAGAAATACCCTTTGAAATCATTGCATTAATTTCGTGTATCTGCTGACGATTTTCGCATCCACATTCCGAATAAATCAAGATGAACAAAATAAATTTATTTTAATAAGGAATATACATAATAATGCTTGGATCGTACACTAGTACTCTACGTGTTAAAACCATGAACATAAATACAGCTCGGATTTTATACTACATACAGCGTATATGACACGAATGCAGCTCGACGCCATTTCGTCTTTCTTTGTTACATGAACACCTGAGATTAAAGTATTCATTTCAAATAAAATTCATGCATTATTTTGATTTTGTAACGTGAATGAATAATTTTACTAAAATATAAATTTCTAGACACACAGTTAATTCAAATGAAAATCATTCAATTTTTTTACCGATATCTAATCTCACTATCATGCGTGACATTCAGAGTCCAATATTTGGTAGAATAAAAACGATTATATTATATATACATAAACCAAAGTTATAAATTGTCATCAAAATTTATTATTAAATTTTATCAGAAACAAACGATTTTGTCTGTAATACTATTTACACGATGCGACACGGAGGATAATTTTCTGGACACTCGATGCGACACGGAGGGAAATTTACTGGACACGGTGCGACACAGAGGACAAAACTGAGATTTTTCTAGACACGGTGCGGCACGGTGTGCCTACCTGTATATTTCAAATCCACACACACCGTGCTACACCGTGTACGCGGTGTAACGCAGAGCGTTTCACACGGTGTTTTTTCCACCGAGCGATGCGGAAAACTCGTGGCCTGTACTGTATCTTCCGCTCTTTGGAGTATACCATCCCAAAAAGCCGGACAGCATAAGGATGGTTTTTGATTCATCGGCCAAATTCTGTGATGTATCTCTAAATGATGTGCTGCTCAAAGGACCTGACCTTAGCAATAGTTTGCTAGGGATCTTGATGAGATTCAGAAAGGAAGCAGTAGCAGTAACGATGGATGTAGAACAAATGTTCTATAACTTCAAAGTGAACCCAGAGCATAGAGACTTTTTGAGATTTTTGTGGCACGAGGAAAATGATTTCAACCGCCCACTTACCAGCTTCCGTATGACGGTACATGTCTTTGGGAATAGTCCGTCACCCTCCGTGGCCACTTATGGTTTGAGAAAATCAGTAGAGTCCTCCAGTGAAGATGTCAAAGATCTCATAAACAATAACTTTTATGTTGACGATGGTCTATTGTCATGTTCCAGTGAAGAAGAAGCCATGAGTCTTGTACATAGGACAAAGGATGCACTGAATGAAGGAGGGAAGTTAAGACTTCACAAATTCGCATCGAATAGCAGAACACTTCTTGATTCATTTCCCTCGAGTGACCTTGCCAAAAACCTGAAAGACCTTGACCTTGGTACGGCGTCACTACCACTACAGAGAAGTTTAGGACTTCTATGGGATACAGACTCAGACGCCTTCTTGTTTAAAGTGTCAGATGAGCAGAAACCTTTCACCAAGCGTGGAGCATTGTCTATCATCAATAGTATCTATGATCCGATAGGCTTTGCTCAACCAGTTGTAATCAGAGGCAAGATATTGCTGAGAAATATGATCTCCTCTACAACAAAATTGGACTGGGATGATCCCTTACCTGACTCCCTCTACAAGGAATGGAAATCCTGGGTACAGTCGTTGCCAGAGTTAGAGGAGTTCCAGATTCCCAGACAGTACAGTTCCAAGTCATTTCAGGGAGCCCAGAAGCGAGAGGTGCATATCTTTGCAGATGCATCTAAAGAAGCCATCGCAGCCGTGGCATTCTTGAAGTTGTACGGCATGGGCCCAGATTCCTGCACGACTAGTTTTCTACTTGGAAAAGCAAAGGTTGCTCCATGTAGTGGGCATACAGTGCCAAGACTTGAATTATGTGCTGCTGTGTTAGCAGTTCAGCTAGCAGATGTCATTCATGAACAGTTGAAGATAGACAAAGAACAGTTTTCTTTCTATTCGGACAGTCAAGTGGTACTTGGGTACATAACGAATGAGACTAGAAGATTCTTCATTTATGTAGGAAATCGAGTGAGTCGCATCAGAATGTCTAGCCACCCCTCGCAGTGGAACTACATAGCATCGGAATGCAACCCAGCAGATGTTGCTACAAGAAGTGTGAAAGCATCTCAACTGGCAGACAGCATGTGGATCAAAGGCCCAGACCTTGAAACAGAATCTCATTCAACATCTGCTCTAGACAATTACCCTCTAATCAACCCAGAGATAGATAAAGAATTGCAACCAGAAGTAAGATGCTTCAAAACAGAGGAGTTGCAGGACGAGAAATCCATGTTTGGAGTTTCCAAGTTTACAAGGTTTTCAGATTGGAGAAAACTTGTGCGAGCAATAGCTTTTTTAAAGACTTTCATCAGGAAGTACACTGGCATCATTACTTCTGACACAGAAGGGAAACGTTATGCCGCAGATATTATCGCAGAATCGGAACACTTCATTATTCAGACAGTGCAAAGGGAAGCCTATGGCCCAGAGATTCAAGCCATTAGAGAAGGAAGATCACTGAACAGAAGCTCAATCTTATCTCTATCTCCAGTGCTAGATCCAGATGGTCTCTTACGTGTTGGCGGAAGGTTAAAGGGCAACAGATCTGTTGATGACTTATCGAAACATCCGATAATCATCCCTAAGAACCATCACCTGGCCAAGCTTCTCATTCACCATTTCCATTGCAAGGTCTCGCATCAGGGTCGACATTTCACTGATGGAGCAGTGAGAGCTGCTGGTTTTTGGATAGTGGGGTCCAAGCGCATGGTTTCATCTGAAATCCACAAGTGTGTCATTTGCCGCAAACTTAGAGGGAAACTTGGATGGCAACAGATGGCATGCTTACCAGAAGACAGAGGGACTCCTAGTCCTCCATTCTCATACGTTGGTGTGGACACGTTCGGACCATGGGCAATTATTCACAGGAGGACCAGAGGAAGTTCAGCCAATCAAAAACGTTGGGCCTTGTTATTTACTTGTATGGTGACCCGTGCAATACATATCGAAGTCATTGAAGAGTTATCTAGCGCAGCATTTATTAACGCATTGAGGCGTTTCATCGCCATTAGAGGCCCAGTGGTACAGTTTAGGTCAGATCGGGGAACCAATTTCATCGGGGCAACAGAGGACCTGTCCATCAATGCTGAATTTGTGGAAAAAGGACCAGTTGGAACATTTCTGACTAATTCAAGAACCTCTTGGGTATTTAACCCACCTCATGCCTCCCATATGGGAGGAGCATGGGAACGTTTGATAGGAGTGTCTCGGAGAATACTAGACTCTATGTTACTGCAGAATCGAGTCGAGCTAACCCACGATGTCTTAGTGACTTTTATGGCCGAGGTAACAGCTATTGTGAACAATAGGCCTTTATTACCTGTATCAACGGATCCAGAGTCTCCTTGTTTGCTCACACCATCTACCTTGTTAACAATGAAGACCACATCCGACATACGCCCCTTCCCAGAGTTTGGACCTAAGGACATACGTGCACATTGAAGCGAGTGCAGTTATTAGCTGAAGAATTTTGGAAAAGATGGAGAGCAGAATATATACATACCCTTCAAGCGCGTCAGAAGTGGAAGGAAGTGCGTCCAAACCTGAAGGCTGGTGATGTCATCATGATGAAAGATAGTGGAAGTGCGCGAAATGACTGGCCTATGGGCATTGTGAAAAAGACATTCCCAAGTGACGATGGACGCGTCCGAAAAGTTGAGATATGTGTTGTGAAGGATGGTACACGCTCTTCTTATGTGAGACCTATATCAGAACTTGTTACTCTTTTGGAGGTGTAATGTGATTGATGTACATTATTGGTTATATCATGCACTTAAGGTTAAGTGTTTGTATGTTTGAAATTGTACTGTAAACAAGATATTAGTACATTGAAATTTAAGTTAAATTTGTTTTAAAAAGTAGTGATTTCTAGTAGAAATCAGAGGGGGAGTGTAGTGTCCGGAAATATCCGTTCCCGCCGTCCCGGGTTTAGATTTTAGTATATTTTGTTTGTTTCCGCCCAAGTCAAAAACACAACGTGTTTACAGCAATCTTGTTTGTCTTGTCCTCTCATGGAGTAAGTTTCATTGCTATTTTTTGTTTATTACCATAAATTGATTGATAAATGTTTGATTATCATGTATGCTAAATGTCATTGGTAAGCATTTTGTTTATTTTGCATAATTCTGCATCGTTATGTGTTATTTTTGTAACCGGTGCATTTAAATATGGCGGATAGTTTAGGTCATTTTTATATACTTAGGTAACATATCGATATACTGTTATTTTGTCATTTTCTGTTCATCAAATCTGTCAATGATTAATAATCACAGTTAATAAGAAGTTGATGTGTCAGTATAATATTTTATTGTGAAACTTGTAATTTGATTGTGGCTAAATGTGTGTCATTTTTTTTGTAGTTTTTTACCCTCTTCCGAGAGGTCTGTGAGAATGAATAAAGTTTAACAGCACAGTTACTAAAAATAGAATTTCTGTGAAATCCCTTTAAAATGCTACTCCTTCTACAGTTGTGGTCTGATTTCAATATAACTTGGCACAAAAGTAGACTACACTAAGATACATAGAATAGTGCATCAGTTTTTGATTTCAATGAAAGGTGTTACCATAGTTACGAAAAATAGCATTTTCTGTGAAATTCCTTTAAAACGCTACTCCTTCTACAGTTAAAGTTTGATTTCAAAATAAGTTGGCACACAAGTAGACTACACAAAGATACATAAAATAGTGCAATGATTTTTGATAAGTACAAATCAGTAGAGCTACAGTCTCGACAGAGACTACAGGTTAAAGATGATCTAATCGAAGTACATGCCAGGTACATTTGCGTCAAGGATGAGGACAGAGATATGAAAAAATTGTTTGAATAACGTCAAGTGTGAAAAGGTTTATCACATCAAATTCTAATTATTTCGTCTAAGTATCCACCGACGATAAGCATTTGTTTGCAATCTTTGTGGTTTTTGTGTTCATGACAATTCTAACAGCATTGAGTATTTGTTTCAGTTCCGGCCGTCGGTAGTACCACTCAAGGTTTATAAAAACAGACAATTCTATGCATATTATTTTTATTTTGTTAACAAAATAACAAGGGTGTGTATATATCACCAAAATTTAATTAAATAAATAATAAAAACAGCAAATTCATTCATTATAAATATTCTCAAATATATTATATTGTTTTAATTTTAAATAATTTAATACGTTAATGTCAATGCCGATTTACTAATAACCTTTTGCACTGCTTTGTTACTATCAAATTTTGATTTTGAGACCCTTAATTCAGAATCACTATGAATTCTAAGTCTTCGCTTTCCTTGAATCTTTGGTGTCCTAGTTCCATCTGCACAATTTTTCAGAATTGAATGAAAAATAGAGTTCACATTCAAGTTCAAATAGGCACTGGTTTCTAAAAACCCAATGTTCATTTCCAAAGCTGCAGTTTGAAAAGCGAAGTTGGTTGAGACTTTTCTCGATGATCCTTTGTCCATTTTATTACCGACTAAAAGAATGTTCGAGAAATGAATTCCTGTCAAAAAAAATATATAATTAATGAAGCAGCAAACTACAGAAAAAGAAATATCACATAAATGTCTTCAAGAAAAAGCATCTGTATTTTCTTCAACCTACCTTTAATTCTTCGTATCTCATTGCATAGATTTTGTGCTGTTGAGAAAGAGCTTGGACATTCTACTGAGTAGACAACTACAAAATGGTTACTCTTCTGGATGTACATTTCTCTCATTGCAGGAAAGTCTTGTAGCCCTGTTGTATCCAAAATCTCAACCATTTTGTGCAAACCATCTGGAAAAAAATGAAATGCAAATTGTTTAGAATGAACATGCAACTTACATTAAATTACAGCAAATAACTGTACAGCAAATTTTGATAATATTTCACGCAATTTGACACGGAACGTGGAGCCTGGTACTTCGTAAAAGACCATTTAAACCGAGGTTCCGTTTCGCAGTAGGTGGTGGCACAAAAAAGACCCCTAGCGGCTCAAAGGCCGTAAGTGCGTGCTGAAAGTATAGGACAAAATTTGTAGCTCTCCACCGGCAAGAGGTCTCCATACGAGTGAAAAATTCTCGAGATGGACATTACACAACATAGTTACAAACAAAACACATTTGACACTTACTAGGTAGGCGTACTGTTTCGTGATAAGATTGTCCGAGGGTTGCTGAAGTCCTCTCGGTGAAAACCCCATACATGAACTGATGGATGAGACTTGTCTTTCCAACCTCTCTATCGCCCATAAATACTATTTGCAAAGGCTTCATAATTTCAGATATATTTCTCATAGTAGTTTTAACAAAATTGTTATTTCGTAGACAAACTTGAGACTTCTTATATATCGTGTATTTCTTCAACCTTTATATATGTCTTGTTAATTACCTCAATTCAATTGGACCAGACAAAAGTTGTCAGACTTTACATGAGAAAAATATATAGTCTTAGCATGGGAGATCAGTAACGTCAATATTTTAATGAATATTCCAATGACATTTAATTGATATTTAAAGTTCAATTATAGCCTTGATGAATATATACAAACAATTAGGAACTATATATATAATTCGTTTTTTTTTTTGTAACAAAGAAAAAGGTAATTTTTTAAAAGAAAATATTGATTTCATTTAGACTAGATTATTCTAAATAGGCAAAGGCCAATTTAAATAATTCAAAATTTCCTTATAAAATTCCAGTATAATACCCAATTGTACCAAATCAATTAGAAAATATATATCGATAGAACATTAGCGATTAAGTTGATTGATTGTTTTACATCCCATTCGAGAATACTACACTCATAGAGAGACGTCACCATACACCGGTGTAGGGCTTCAAATTTTGACGTTTACTCGGCATTAACGGCCTTTGAGCAGTGATGGATCTTTATCGTGTCCTTGTCTACTATTTTTAAGGTCTCATCCGAAGGACTCGGAACTTTTTACTTCAAAGTACCTAGCGCATGCTGAGGGAACAGTTGCTTACAGCTACCCATTATTATCGACTTCCGAACACGGAGCGAGCGCTCTATTGGCGATTCAGAAGCACATCCCCCTCTCTCCCGCTCCCACTCTATATAAAATTGTAGGGAACAGAACGACATTTAACTCTCGACACGACATAGTCCAGACTTTTTACTACCATTTCTAATTCTGATATCAAAATATTTTTATATCACTTGGTGGGATTTCTTAGCAGTATCACAGGGTCTTATGTTAGGCTCACAAACATATCCACGTCCAAAGAATAAAGTCCTAAAACTCAGAATCCCATGGGAGAATGGTGAGATTTTCAGTACCACCAACTATCCCACATTTCTCCCATGGTAAAAATGTCGTATGGGATATTTTCTCCATGAGGATTTTCCCCCCTGCATAATTGTTCAAATGGGATAAATCCCACGGATATTGACAATGAAATATTTTCTCCAATACATTGTTATAGTTAAAATACATTCTATATATTATGATGAGAGATTTCTCATTGTCATAATTTATGGGATATATTCCTTATTTCATAATACTTTGGAGAAATTGTTTGATTGTCAATATCCGTGGGATTTATCCGATTTGAACAAATTTGTGGGAGAAAAAAATCCTAATGGAAAAAAATATCCCATCTGAGATTTTTTCTCCCATGGGTGAATGGTGGGATAGTTGATGGGATTGAAAATCCCACCATTCTCCCATGGGATTCTGAGTTTTAGGACTTTATATCTGTAGAAATGAAGATGTTTGTGAGTTCAACATAAAAACCTGGGATACTGCTAAGAAATCCCACCAAATGATATAAAAATATTTTGGATATCATATAAGAAATGCTATTAAAACGTCTGGACTATGTCGTGTCAAGAGTTAAATGTCGTACTATTTGCAATTGGGGCTTTTCCAATGTGAACACATTGTGTTCTATAGTCTCGTACCATCGTCTCGAGCCGCGATCCGGAGTGGACATGTACTTCCAGAATAGGAGAGAATCATAAATTTTGGCTGCGGTTTTGCAACGATGTTAGACTTGTACATGCCTCAGAAGATATTATCAGGAGATAAGGTTTAATCGACTCTCATTGGCACTTATAATTTTTTTTGTTAATAATTCAAACAAGAGGTCCATAGGCCACATTGCTCACCTGAGCGCATTGCCTAGGAAATAAAGCAGAAATAATTTAAGTATTGAAAAGTTTACATGGGGGTTGGGGTCTGGAATTTTAAACTACCAACTACCTGATGATGCTTCCATACAACAAATTCCTTTGCTGTTTCTGAGCAGATGATTTTTTTTCCTATTTATTCATTTGAACCCCTCCCCCCCAATTGTGGCCAAGCCCTACCCCTGTGAGCCCTAATTTGAACCAGTATGACTTTGTATATCCTGAGAATGCCTCCATATCAATATGATTAAACATGACTTTTCTATTCTTGGAAAAAAAAATTCCTTGGTATTTCTAGGCAAAACTGTGAGCCCCATTGTGG